CAACTCTGGTTCTAATGACCAAAGTTGGTTTTCAAAAACCAACGCCTTTTTAAACCCCTTTTCCATTGTTTATGGTAAAAATATCGGTGGGGACTCCATAGAACCCAAAATAAATAAGTCTTTGGGTTAGCCCGGTTGTCGGACAACTCAAAGACACTTTTCGAAAACCTCGCCCCTAGGTTAGCCCGGTTATCGGACAACCTAAAGGCGTTGTAACCACCAATAAAAAACGCGAAAATCAAGAGGGTCGAAAAAACCATCGCGTCGCTCTGACCGCCCTCTCTTTGGGAGGCGGCGACAACACATACACATCAACATACACAAATACACACAAACACAAAAACAATCAAACAAAAACACGAAGCCAAAGACAAAACAAGCAAAAAAAACACAACACACGCAAACACAAACACAAACACAAACTTGTGCACAAACACAAACACAAACTCGTGCACAAACACAAACACAAAAAACATATACACATACACAAATACAAATAAAAACACGAAAACAAACACACACAAACAAGCAAAGAAAAACAGAAACACAAATACAAACACAAACACACAAACAAACACAAACACAAACACAAACACAAATACAAACACAAAAACAAACAAAAAGACAAACACAATAGGATGATAGTGGAAGTGTAACACATTAATAAATTATTGGTAGAATAGGATCATACCTGTAATAGGATGTACACTTGGTCCTGCATAAGAAAAATGAAAAGGATGTGTGGCAGACTTACCTTCAGCACACACATGTTTGCATCATGAGTGCTGCTAGAAAGAGAACACAATGAAAAACACAAACACAAACACAAAGACAATTACAAACACACACAAACAACACACGAAAACAAACACACACAAACAAGCAAACAAAAACACAAACACAAACAAACACAAAAACAAAAACAAAAACACAAACAAACCAAACACAAAACACAAACAAAACACAAACATGAAAAAACACGCAAACACAAATGGAAAGACAAATACATACACAAACAAAAACACAACACACGGAAACATAAAGACAAACACGTACACAAACACAAAAAAAACAAAAAGACAAAAAAACACATACACATCAACATACACAAATACACACAAACACAAAAACAATCAAACAAAAACACGAAGCCAAAGACAAAACAAGCAAAAAAAACACAACACACGCAAACACAAACACAAACACAAACTTGTGCACAAACACAAACACAAACTCGTGCACAAACACAAACACAAAAAACATATACACATACACAAATACAAATAAAAACACGAAAACAAACACACACAAACAAGCAAAGAAAAACAGAAACACAAATACAAACACAAACACACAAACAGAAACACAAACACAAATACAAACACAAAAACAAACAAAAAGACAAACACAATAGGATGATAGTGGAAGTGTAACACATTAATAAATTATTGGTAGAATAGGATCATACCTGTAATAGGATGTACACTTGGTCCTGCATAAGAAAAATGAAAAGGATGTGTGGCAGACTTACCTTCAGCACACACATGTTTGCATCATGAGTGCTGCTAGAAAGAGAACACAATGAAAAACACAAACACAAACACAAAGACAATTACAAACACACACAAACAACACACGAATACAAACACACACAAACAAGCAAACACAAACACAAGCACAAACACAAGCACAAACAAAAACAAAAACAAAAACAAAAACACAAAAAACCAAACCAAAACACAAACACAAACACAAACATGAAAAAACACGCAAACACAAATGGAAAGACAAATACATACACAAACAAAAACACAACACACGGAAACATAAAGACAAACACGTACACAAACACAAAAAAACAGAAAAACACATACACATCAACATACACAAATACACAGAAACACAAACAATCAAACAAAAACACGAAGCCAAAGACAAAACAAGTAAAAAAAACATAACACAGGCAAACACAAACACAAACACAAACTTGTGCACAAAGACAAACACAAACTCGTGCACAAACACAAACACAAAAAACATATACACATACACAAATACAAATAAAAACACGAAAACAAACACACACAAACAAGCAAAGAAAAACAGAAACACAAATACAAACACAAACAGAAACACAAACAAAAACACAAACACAAATACAAACACAAAAAAAAAAAAAAAAGACAAACCAAATAGGATGATAGTGGAAGTGTAACACATTAATAAATTATTGGTAGAATAGGATCATACCTGTAATAGGATGTACACTTGGTCCTGCATAAGAAAAATGAAAAGGATGTGTGGCAGACTTACCTTCAGCACACACATGTTTGCATCATGAGTGCTGCTAGAAAGAGAACACAATGAAAAACACAAACACAAACACAAAGACAATTACAAACACACACAAACAACACACGAATACAAACACACACAAACAAGCAAACACAAACACAAGCACAAACACAAGCACAAACAAAAACAAAAACAAAAACAAAAACACAAAACCAAACCAAACCAAAACACAAACACAAACACAAACATGAAAAAACACGCAAACACAAATGGAAAGACAAATACATACACAAACAAAAACACAACACACGGAAACATAAAGACAAACACATACACAAACACAAAAAAACAAAAAGACAAAAAAACACATACACATCAACATACACAAATACACACAAACACAAAAACAATCAAACAAAAACACGAAGCCAAAGACAAAACAAGCAAAAAAAAACACAACACACGCAAACACAAAGACAAACACAAACTTGTGCACAAACACAAACAAAAATTCATGCACAAACACAAACACAAAAAACATATACACATACACAAATACAAATAAAAACACAAAAACAAACACACGCAAACAAGCAAAGAAAAACAGAAACACAAATACAAACACAAACACACAAACAGAAACACAAACACAAATACAAACACAAAAACAAACAAAAAGACAAACACAATAGGATGATAGTGGAAGTGTAACACATTAATAAATTATTGGTAGAATAGGATCATACCTGTAATAGGATGTACACTTGGTCCTGCATAAGAAAAATGAAAAGGATGTGTGGCAGACTTACCTTCAGCACACACATGTTTGCATCATGAGTGCTGCTAGAAAGAGAACACAATGAAAAACACAAACACAAACACAAAGACAATTACAAACACACACAAACAACACACGAATACAAACACACACAAACAAGCAAACACAAACACAAGCACAAACAAAAACAAAAACAAAAACAAAAACACAAAACCAAACCAAACCAAACCAAAACACAAACACAAACACAAACATGAAAAAACACGCAAACACAAATGGAAAGACAAATACATACACAAACAAAAACACAACACACGGAAACATAAAGACAAACACGTACACAAACACAAAAAAACAAAAAGACAAACAAAACACATACACTTCAACATACACAAATACACACAAACACAAAAACAATCAAACAAAAACACGAAGCCAAAGACAAAACAAGCAAAAAAAAACACAACACACGCAAACACAAAGACAAACACAAACTTGTGCACAAACACAAACAAAAATTCGTGCAGAAACACAAACACAAAAAACATATACACATACACAAATACAAATAAAAACTCAAAAACAAACACACGCAAACAAGCAAAGAAAAACAGAAACACAAATACAAACACAAACACACAAACAGAAACACAAACACAAATACAAACACAAAAACAAACAAAAAGACAAACACAATAGGATGATAGTGGAAGTGTAACACATTAATAAATTATTGGTAGAATACGATCATACCTGTAATAGGATGTACACTTGGTCCTGCATAAGACAAATGAAAAGGATGTGTGGCAGACTTACCCTCAGCACACACATGTTTGCATCATGAGTGCTGCTAGAAAGAGAACACAATGAAAAACACAAACACAAACACAAAGACAATTACAAACACACACAAACAACACACGAATACAAACACACACAAACAAGCCAACACAAACACAAGCACAAACACAAGCACAAACAAAAACAAAAACAAAAACAAAAACACAAAACCAAACCAAAACACAAACACAAACACAAACATGAAAAAACACGCAAACACAAATGGAAAGACAAATACAAACACAAACAAAAACACAACACACGGAAACATAAAGACAAACACGTACAGAAACACAAAAAAACAAAAAAACAAAAAAACACATACACATCAACATACACAAATACACACAAACACAAACAATCAAACAAAAACACGAAGCCAAAGACAAAACACATGGAAGAGGATTTGTTAATTATTTAATATGTACTTCTAATCGTTTCAGGAATGTCAAATTTTCCAGCGCAATATTTTTATTTTATCAGTGAAGAAATTTCCTCCATCATTAAGAAATTCACCACAAATAAAATTAAAACCATAACCAACCCTTATCCCAATATGTGGACTCAGATGCAAAGATTAAAGGTCACCCCATTTGACTCTCTTCTATAGTTCCTAATCCTGCACAGTGTCATAGCAGTGGCTGATCCCTGTTGGAAGTCTCACGTCGCCTGCCTCATGTTATTTGGTATGGTTTAAATACATGTTAGGTTATTCCACATATTGTCAATTGGTTTTATGTTGGAATTTTAACATGGTATCAGAACCAAAGCCTAACATCTTTTCGGTTATTATCTTAGGCTAAGAGTTGCCCTTTCATTGTGGGTCAAAGAACCCTTTGCCCGGTCTGGCTAGCTTTGTTGGAGGGGGCATGTTGGAAGTCAGTCCTACATCGCCTGCCTCATGTCATTGGTATGGTTTAAATACATGTTAGGCTACTCCACATATTGTCAATTGGTTTTATGTTGGAACCTTAACAATCCCCAGCAACCGTGTAGCCATACAACACACAGCAAGACAACCATATTGTCAAATTTTGTGACAGTTTGGCATGTACTAAATTAACAATAAAAAGTACAATACAATATCTTAGCTCTAAAGCAAACTAACAATATCAATATCCAAAATTAAAATACAATACAATATTCAAAATTATGATAGGCAAAACTAATTTAAAAAGGTAAAAAATTATCTTAGCTCAAAGTAAAAAGCATCAATTTAAAAAATTAAAAAGAATAACTTCTCTAGCCACGCTTCCATCTCAATATTGTCATTAAGATTCACAATCAGAGTATTGTTAGTTGTATAGCATAGTAAAAAAAAATATTGCTTCAATTTCAAAGTAAATCAAGAAAAAAAATTAAGCTTTAAAAGGAAAGAAAAAAGCAGACCTCTGGAATATCAGCATAATGTGTAATGCCTTTCAGAAGAAGAGGCATGTGGGCAGGATAAAGCCAATAAAAAAGGAACCCATATGTTCTACGGCTGATAATAAGGGATTAAGAACAATCAAAATAAACTAACATTAGTAGCAAAGAACAAGGCCTTTGTAAATAAACAAAGTTATGACGTCTTAGTTACCAACCTATTAGTAGCCATTGCTATTCCTCGAAGGTCCCGCATCAACCCAATGAATGCATATTTTACAGCATCTGATTGGAACAATGCATCAGGTGTCGATTCCAATCTAGCCAAAACCTTACAATTTAAAAAACAAAATAAATAATCAATTTGAATGTAAAATAATCAGTAGGAAATAACAATAATCATAAATAAATTGTCATACTTTGTTGTACAATGCATAACTTGTTAGGCCCAATTTAATGGGGGTACGACAAGCTTCATATGTCGCAAAATAATCTCATCAAGATATGGCCTTAACTAGTTCATGAACTATGGTTAAAAGGACTAACTAGACAATATTGAGTTGAAAGATTAAATTTATTAGAAATGAAGAAGGGTCTAACTCAACCTTGTAAAACTGGCTTGTAAAGTGAGGTTTACACCTCAATTATATATTATAAGTTGGTGATATCTCTAGTCGATGTAGGATTTCCAACATACCACTCACATCGAGGAATAAAACATCTGAAGAGCATTGAACAGAATATTAAGGATGATTTGATAGTAGGTAGAGTAATAGGCCAACAAGTCTCGTTAGGATAAACTCTAATATCATACAAAAATGGAGAGGTGTCCAACTCAATCCTACAAAATCAGCTTGGAAGGTAAGATTTACACCTCAATTATATGTTATAAGTTAGTAATACCTTCAATCGATGTGGGTTTTCTAAAATAATTGAATTAGATGTAGTTGTGAAAAAAAAAAAAAACTTATGCTTATAAGGGTAGCCCAATATATTTTTTATCTTTGTTTTCCAAAGATGTCAACAATGTCTTGTCTAGGATAAAAGGAATATTAAAAATTATAACACTAGTATTGAACATCCCACATTGACTAAAGATGTAGCCAAGTTATAGTATATAAATGAGGTGCAATCCTCACCTTAAAAACCAGTTTTGTAACAAACACACACAATTGTATGATCCTTGGACAAAAGCAGCTTCTCTCTCACAAGTTGGTTATTTGAGCTGAAAGATATCCTTGGACAACAACTTCTTGCTCACAAAAACGCAATTGATTATGTGTTTAGTTCTCTTATAAAACATTCGGTTAGAGACAACGTAGAGTATTTCAAAATCATTTCTTTAATATGTCCCATCCTTTTACAATATGAACGTTGAGAGCAGCCACTTCTACCATGACATCTCCAAGGATTCCGTAACCTCCTCTTCTTCGAGTAGATACCATTATCAAAAGATTCATTAAACCTTTTCCACTGCTCTTGACTATCTGATCGCGCTTCAGTTAAATCTTTCTCTAAATGGTTCCTGACCAAGGAACCATGCTTCCCCAAAATCTGTCCAAGATAGGTAGTTTTTGCCATGAAGTTTCTTTGAAGTTATTGTGAGCAGATTTATGCATAAGAGGTGAGCAGATTTAGTTGTGTCACAAGGCATAATATGTTTGTTGGATTATTCATGGGATGTAATACCTTCTTTTCTCAATTTATATCTTCTTAGGGACAGTATCATTTACCCTTTTTAGGTCTTATTAGTTTCTTGTTGATGGTTTTAGTTTGGCCTCCCGTCTTGTTAATTTTTTTTCTTTAAAATAAAATCTAAGGAATGTTGCATATAAGATAAATCTACTTTCCAAGTTCAAGTTTGCTTCAAATACTGTGCAAGACCACAATTTCATAAGATCAATGAGTCAATAATTGTTGCCAATAAGGATAAGGGGCAATTTCTAGCTACCAACCTGCAAGAAAGGTTCCATTGTAGATTTAAATTTGAGTGGGCTATCCTCCAAGAATATCAACATCCCAATAGTATAGTACAGGGTTGTTCTGCTGCGGAAACATTCCCAATTTTCTATTAAGGGGAATAAGTCCCTCTAAAAAAGAGAAGAAATTTTTTCCCTTGAAAATCTGCTGATTCAGACAAGTATGCACATTTACAGAAAGCAAAAAATGATGTCAATTACACCTACACTAGGCTGGTTCCTTTCTGCCCTTGCATTTTTAAAATAATACAGATTAGATATCTTGTTCTAAAAAATTGTGCAATTCAAATGCAGACTAAACTCATACACTGAATACCTAACTAGGCATGCATATGTATTTTCAAGCTAGTTTCCACGTAAGATATACAGAGGAGTTGCACAATATTGTACAAATGAGCACATTTGATTTTCACCATTTCACCTTTCTATATATAATTTACACACAGACACATAAAAGGTGGGTTCTAAAGTAAAATTCAGGTAAAATGTGTCCCAAACAATAATAGTGTCTAATCAAACTACAAGTGAATAATTTCTTCATGGATGATTACTATAAATAGTAAATGGTTAGTTTACAGATTGTGCAGTTATATCACCACCTCCACATACTCGCTCATAGGGTATGTTAGATGATCTCTTAGTAGTGAGTTCTACTTTTTTATTATATTTCATGCTTTGTTTGCATAGTTAAATAGCAAGAGGATTTTGAGTATTAGTATAAATAGAAATTAGTACTATTTTAATAATGTATTTTGTAATACATTAATATATACAAAATCATGTTATTCAAAGTCTTCATTCTATCCTTTTCTTCTTCCTAACATAACTACATGATTTCAAACAATATATAGGACAAAAGCAAAAGAGCAACGAGGAGATCAAAAGTTCATCTCATTCTCATTGGTTAAAGACAGCTCACATTCTTGTTCGAAATCATGAGTTTAACGAGTATCCAGTTTAAGAAGCAGCTTTCCCGACATGTAACTGCAAAACAAGGTCCTCACCCAATAAATATACAACAATCAAAATATAAAAATATATACTATAATGAAGACTTCAAGGTTGAGACAGAACAAAACTAACCCAGAAGTCATTTCCAGAAAGAGATTTAAGGTATGATCAATAACCTCTTTGCACTGCACATAGAAAGTCTCAATGTTGTGAGCTCAATAATAACAGCAATGCAAAAGATCATGTCTAAAACTCAGAATTACCTTTGTGTAGCATTTAAGGTTAGTAATCATCTTTCCCACAATAACATTTAGTAGTAGTAGATTATCATGGAGCCCAAGCAGTTCCGAAAGGCGGGTATATAACTGCTGCAATTACAGATCAATAAAATTAAACAGAATTAAAAATTCAAAAGGAAAATAGCTTCCAACTTTCTTTCTACCTTAGATGAAAAAACAGTTGCACAATATTGTACAAATGAGCACATTTGATTTTCACCATTTCACCTTTCTATATATAATTTACACACAGACACATAAAAGGTGGGTTCTAAAGTAAAATTCAGGTAAAATGTGTCCCAAACAATAATAGTGTCTAATCAAACTACAAGTGAATAATTTCTTCATGGATGATTACTATAAATAGTAAATGGTTAGTTTACAGATTATGCAGTTATATCACCACCTCCACATACTCGCTCATAGGGTATGTTAGATGATCTCTTAGTAGTGAGTTCTACTTTTTTATTATATTTCATGCTTTGTTTGCATAGTTAAATAGCAAGAGGATTTTGAGTATTAGTATAAATAGAAATTAGTACTATTTTAATAATGTATTTTGTAATACATTAATATATACAAAATCATGTTATTCAAAGTCTTCATTCTATCCTTTTCTTCTTCCTAACATAACTACATGGTTTCAAACAATATATAGGACAAAAGCAAAAGAGCAACGAGGAGATCAAAAGTTCATCTCATTCTCATTGGTTAAAGACAGCTCACATTCTTGTTCGAAATCATGAGTTTAACAGTATCCAGTTTAAGAAGCAGCTTTCCTGACATGTAACTGCAAAACAAGGTCCTCACCCAATAAATATACAACAATCAAAATATAAAAATATATACTATAATGAAGACTTCAAGGTTGAGACAGAACAAAACTAACCCAGAAGTCATTTCCAGAAAGAGATTTAAGGTATGATCAATAACCTCTTTGCACTGCACATAGAAAGTCTCAATGTTGTGAGCTCAATAATAACAGCAATGCAAAAGATCATGTCTAAAACTCAGAATTACCTTTGTGTAGCATTTAAGGTTAGTAATCATCTTTCCCACAATAACATTTAGTAGTAGTAGATTATCATGGAGCCCAAGCAGTTCCGAAAGGCGGGTATATAACTGCTGCAATTACAGTCAATAAAATTAAACAGAATTAAAAATTCAAAAGGAAAATAGCTTCCAACTTTCTTTCTACCTTAGATGAAAAAACAGTTGCACAATATTGTACAAATGAGCACATTTGATTTTCACCATTTCACCTTTCTATATATAATTTACACACAGACACATAAAAGGTGGGTTCTAAAGTAAAATTCAGGTAAAATGTGTCCCAAACAATAATAGTGTCTAATCAAACTACAAGTGAATAATTTCTTCATGGATGATTACTATAAATAGTAAATGGTTAGTTTACAGATTATGCAGTTATATCACCACCTCCACATACTCGCTCATAGGGTATGTTAGATGATCTCTTAGTAGTGAGTTCTACTTTTTTATTATATTTCATGCTTTGTTTGCATAGTTAAATAGCAAGAGGATTTTGAGTATTAGTATAAATAGAAATTAGTACTATTTTAATAATGTATTTTGTAATACATTAATATATACAAAATCATGTTATTCAAAGTCTTCATTCTATCCTTTTCTTCTTCCTAACATAACTACATGATTTCAAACAATATATAGGACAAAAGCAAAAGAGCAACGAGGAGATCAAAAGTTCATCTCATTCTCATTGGTTAAAGACAGCTCACATTCTTGTTCGAAATCATGAGTTTAACAGTATCCAGTTTAAGAAGCAGCTTTCCTGACATGTAACTGCAAAACAAGGTCCTCACCCAATAAATATACAACAATCAAAATATAAAAATATATACTATAATGAAGACTTCAAGGTTGAGACAGAACAAAACTAACCCAGAAGTCATTTCCAGAAAGAGATTTAAGGTATGATCAATAACCTCTTTGCACTGCACATAGAAAGTCTCAATGTTGTGAGCTCAATAATAACAGCAATGCAAAAGATCATGTCTAAAACTCAGAATTACCTTTGTGTAGCATTTAAGGTTAGTAATCATCTTTCCCACAATAACATTTAGTAGTAGTAGATTATCATGGAGCCCAAGCAGTTCGAAAGGCGGGTATATAAGCTGCTGCAATTACAGTCAATAAAATTAAACAGAATTAAAAATTCAAAAGGAAAATAGCTTCCAACTTTCTTTCTACCTTAGATGAAAAAACAGTTGCACAATATTGTACAAATGAGCACATTTGATTTTCACCATTTCACCTTTCTATATATAATTTACACACAGACACATAAAAGGTGGGTTCTAAAGTAAAATTCGGGTAAAATGTGTCCCAAACAATAATAGTGTCTAATCAAACTACAAGTGAATAATTTCTTCATGGATGATTACTATAAATAGTAAATGGTTAGTTTACAGATTATGCGGTTATATCACCACCTCCACATACTCGCTCATAGGGTATGTTAGATGATCTCTTAGTAGTGAGTTCTACTTTTTTATTATATTTCATGCTTTGTTTGCATAGTTAAATAGCAAGAGGATTTTGAGTATTAGTATAAATAGAAATTAGTACTATTTTAATAATGTATTTTGTAATACATTAATATATACAAAATCATGTTATTCAAAGTCTTCATTCTATCCTTTTCTTCTTCCTAACATAACTACATGATTTCAAACAATATATAGGACAAAAGCAAAAGAGCAACGAGGAGATCAAAAGTTCATCTCATTCTCATTGGTTAAAGACAGCTCACATTCTTGTTCGAAATCATGAGTTTAACGAGTATCCAGTTTAAGAAGCAGCTTTCCTGACATGTAACTGCAAAACAAGGTCCTCACCCAATAAATATACAACAATCAAAATATAAAAATATATACTATAATGAAGACTTCAAGGTTGAGACAGAACAAAACTAACCCAGAAGTCATTTCCAGAAAGAGATTTAAGGTATGATCAATAACCTCTTTGCACTGCACATAGAAAGTCTCAATGTTGTGAGCTCAATAATAACAGCAATGCAAAAGATCATGTCTAAAACTCAGAATTACCTTTGTGTAGCATTTAAGGTTAGTAATCATCTTTCCCACAATAACATTTAGTAGTAGTAGATTATCATGGAGCCCAAGCGAGTTCGAAAGGCGGGTATATAAGCTGCTGCAATTACAGATCAATAAAATTAAACAGAATTAAAAATTCAAAAGGAAAATAGCTTCCAACTTTCTTTCTACCTTAGATGAAAAAACAGTTGCACAATATTGTACAAATGAGCACATTTGATTTTCACCATTTCACCTTTCTATATATAATTTACACACAGACACATAAAAGGTGGGTTCTAAAGTAAAATTCAGGTAAAATGTGTCCCAAACAATAATAGTGTCTAATCAAACTACAAGTGAATAATTTCTTCATGGATGATTACTATAAATAGTAAATGGTTAGTTTACAGATTATGCGGTTATATCACCACCTCCACATACTCGCTCATAGGGTATGTTAGATGATCTCTTAGTAGTGAGTTCTACTTTTTTATTATATTTCATGCTTTGTTTGCATAGTTAAATAGCAAGAGGATTTTGAGTATTAGTATAAATAGAAATTAGTACTATTTTAATAATGTATTTTGTAATACATTAATATATACAAAATCATGTTATTCAAAGTCTTCATTCTATCCTTTTCTTCTTCCTAACATAACTACATGATTTCAAACAATATATAGGACAAAAGCAAAAGAGCAACGAGGAGATCAAAAGTTCATCTCATTCTCATTGGTTAAAGACAGCTCACATTCTTGTTCGAAATCATGAGTTTAACGAGTATCCGAGTTTAAGAAGCGGCTTTCCTGACATGTAACCGCAAAACAAGGTCCTCACCCAATAAATATACAACAATCAAAATATAAAAATATATACTATAATGAAGACTTCAAGGTTGAGACAGAACAAAACTAACCCAGAAGTCATTTCCAGAAAGAGATTTAAGGTATGATCAATAACCTCTTTGCACTGCACATAGAAAGTCTCAATGTTGTGAGCTCAATAATAACAGCAATGCAAAAGATCATGTCTAAAACTCAGAATTACCTTTGTGTAGCATTTAAGGTTAGTAATCATCTTTCCCACAATAACATTTAGTAGTAGTAGATTATCATGGAGCCCAAGCAGTTCGAAAGGCGGGTATATAACTGCTGCAATTACAGATCAATAAAATTAAACAGAATTAAAAATTCAAAAGGAAAATAGCTTCCAACTTTCTTTCTACCTTAGATGAAAAAACAGTTGCACAATATTGTACAAATGAGCACATTTGATTTTCACCATTTCACCTTTCTATATATAATTTACACACAGACACATAAAAGGTGGGTTCTAAAGTAAAATTCAGGTAAAATGTGTCCCAAACAATAATAGTGTCTAATCAAACTACAAGTGAATAATTTCTTCATGGATGATTACTATAAATAGTAAATGGTTAGTTTACAGATTATGCAGTTATATCACCACCTCCACATACTCGCTCATAGGGTATGTTAGATGATCTCTTAGTAGTGAGTTCTACTTTTTTATTATATTTCATGCTTTGTTTGCATAGTTAAATAGCAAGAGGATTTTGAGTATTAGTATAAATAGAAATTAGTACTATTTTAATAATGTATTTTGTAATACATTAATATATACAAAATCATGTTATTCAAAGTCTTCATTCTATCCTTTTCTTCTTCCTAACATAACTACATGATTTCAAACAATATATAGGACAAAAGCAAAAGAGCAACGAGGAGATCAAAAGTTCATCTCATTCTCATTGGTTAAAGACAGCTCACATTCTTGTTCGAAATCATGAGTTTAACAGTATCCAGTTTAAGAAGCAGCTTTCCTGACATGTAACTGCAAAACAAGGTCCTCACCCAATAAATATACAACAATCAAAATATAAAAATATATACTATAATGAAGACTTCAAGGTTGAGACAGAACAAAACTAACCCAGAAGTCATTTCCAGAAAGAGATTTAAGGTATGATCAATAACCTCTTTGCACTGCACATAGAAAGTCTCAATGTTGTGAGCTCAATAATAACAGCAATGCAAAAGATCATGTCTAAAACTCAGAATTACCTTTGTGTAGCATTTAAGGTTAGTAATCATCTTTCCCACAATAACATTTAGTAGTAGTAGATTATCATGGAGCCCAAGCAGTTCCGAAAGGCGGGTATATAACTGCTGCAATTACATTCAATAAAATTAAACAGAATTAAAAATTCAAAAGGAAAATAGCTTCCAACTTTCTTTCTACCTTAGATGAAAAAACAGTTGCACAATATTGTACAAATGAGCACATTTGATTTTCACCATTTCACCTTTCTATATATAATTTACACACAGACACATAAAAGGTGGGTTCTAAAGTAAAATTCAGGTAAAATGTGTCCCAAACAATAATAGTGTCTAATCAAACTACAAGTGAATAATTTCTTCATGGATGATTACTATAAATAGTAAATGGTTAGTTTACAGATTATGCGAGTTATATCACCACCTCCACATACTCGCTCATAGGGTATGTTAGATGATCTCTTAGTAGTGAGTTCTACTTTTTTATTATATTTCATGCTTTGTTTGCATAGTTAAATAGCAAGAGGATTTTGAGTATTAGTATAAATAGAAATTAGTACTATTTTAATAATGTATTTTGTAATACATTAATATATACAAAATCATGTTATTCAAAGTCTTCATTCTATCCTTTTCTTCTTCCTAACATAACTACATGATTTCAAACAATATATAGGACAAAAGCAAAAGAGCAACGAGGAGATCAAAAGTTCATCTCATTCTCATTGGTTAAAGACAGCTCACATTCTTGTTCGAAATCATGAGTTTAACAGTATCCAGTTTAAGAAGCAGCTTTCCGACATGTAACTGCAAAACAAGGTCCTCACCCAATAAATATACAACAATCAAAATATAAAAATATATACTATAATGAAGACTTCAAGGTTGAGACAGAACAAAACTAACCCGAAGTCATTTCCGGAAAGAGATTTAAGGTATGATCAATAACCTCTTTGCACTGCACATAGAAAGTCTCAATGTTGTGAGCTCAATAATAACAGCAATGCAAAAGATCATGTCTAAAACTCAGAATTACCTTTGTGTAGCATTTAAGGTTAGTAATCATCTTTCCCACAATAACATTTAAAGCCCCGTTTTGCAAGGCTTAGGTGAGTACATACCCCCACCCGGTATGAAGTTTTTGGTAAGCCCCGTTTTGCAAGGCTTAGGTGAGTACGTACCCCCACCCGGTGTGAAGTTTTTGGTAAGCCCCGTTTTGCAAGGCTTAGGTGAGTACGTACCCCCACCCGGTATGAAGTTTTTGGTAAGCCCCGTTTTGCAAGGCTTAGGTGAGTACGTACCCCCACCCTGTATGAAGTTTTTGGTAAGCCCCGTTTTGCAAGGCTTAGGTGAGTACGTACCCCCACCCTGGATGAAGTTTTTTGGTAAGCCCCGTTCTGCAAGGCTTAGGTGAGTACGTACCCCACCCGGTTCTCGGCGACTTATTGTCTTCTGATCATGCGCCTATTCCATGAGGAATGATTGATTTTCTTTCTTTTTGACTTTTCTATTTTAGTTATCCTGCTTTACCGGGATTCTTCGTTGGTTGCCTTTTGGCAGGAATTTATTGGGGACTTTGATTGTGCCTCTTGATTAGGCTATTGCTTCAGCCGATGGTGAAGACTTTTATGCTTTTGGGCTTGCATTACCTCTCGCATAGGTTGATTTCCCATTTCTCTGGGATATTAGCTCTTTGCTTATTTTGAGCAAACAGGAGTTCTGTTGTAAGCTCACCTATGAAATTTTTCTTTTGAGAATTTGATTGCTCTGACTTGGGATCTCTTTTGAATTGCCCCCTTAGAGGGAAAATGGAGTTTTTGACTCCTTATTGCTTGAACTGGCTTTTGTCTATGCTTTTATTTCTGCCGGGGAATGGGTTCGTATGTGTGCCTTTTATGCACGTTAGATGGAATGATCCCTGAGGAATTTTATTGGTCTCCTAGGGATGGAAATTTCTTATTTTCTTTTATAGATTTTTCTTGATGTGCTCTTCCTGTGGATTTTCTTTTGGCTTTTTCATGCAGTGGCCTTTGTTAGAGGATGAAAGGCTTTTCTCTTCTTTCTTTTTGTTGCCCCCAATGATTTGGGTGATTTGATTCTCGTGCTTTCTTTCGATGGACTCTCTGTGTAGTCCTTATTCTTCTTCGGGGAATGAAATGGAGACTCTTGCGTGAGTGTGCTTGGTGATTCATGTGGTGATGAAGCCGAGTCGCGAGTAATCTTTTTGTCTTGCCTCTGGAGTAGGCAAGGATCCGCTTGGGGATGATCAAGCTTTTCCGTTGGCCATTTTTCGTTTTGATGGCTTCCTTCTTTTATTATTGTAGAAGGTTGATGGTTGGAACTAGTTTCTTTGAAGTTCCTTATGTTGCTCGAAATGATTTTGATTTCGTTTTTCGCGATTTTGATTTTCATATGGAGACTGGATTCTGGCGCTTCTGCTTTCAATCACAAGTGCGGAGACTAACCTCCTTATATGCATGTTTAATATTTTTGTTTGAAGAAAATTATTTTTCTTGATTTTGACAAAGTCATATTATGCAACTATTTTGTGTGTGAATGTCCTAAATGCAATCTATTGTTTATTTATTTTTAATGCATTTAGAAAGTAACTGGCCTTCTCCCGTTGGCTTCTTATGAATATGCCTATGGGCTCCTCTTTTTATGACCTTAATGATGGGCTCATCTTTTACTCATCTTTTGGTTTTAGCCCTATCTTTTGCCTAGACCGCCCTTTACGGGTTTTCGATCTAATGCTGCTCGCCTCAATTTTTGCCTAGGATATCTTAGGGGGCTTTTGCCTTATTTTTTTGCCTAGACCGTCTTTTTTTTGGGGTTTGCGATCTAGCAGGCTACCCTAGTTTTTACCTAAGAATATCCTAGTAGGCGTTTATTCTCTTATTATTTTTATACGCTTCCCTTTTTTAGATGCATGTTTGATCTTTGATTAAAAGTCTTTGCGCATATCAATAAAGAGGCATTTCCATAATATTTGGTCAAGAGAAAGGAAATGGAAGGGAATTTTATTGATAAATGAGCAAAATTTTATTTCTTTTATAGAAGGATTACAAAAGGTATTTAGAAGAATGGGTAGTCAAGGTTGGCTTGGACTCGTTTAGGCTTATACAGTCATGTCCATGATATCTCGCCCCTGGTTCTCCTAATTACTTCAGTTGAGATGCCTCGAGCTCAGAGTGAAGACTATGCAGGCTGCCTTGCTTCTGGAAGAATGTTACTTTAGCCGCCTTTTCGGTTTTCGACTAAAGTAACAACTCGCTCTTAGTTAGATTTTTTTTTTTTTTTTTTTTTTTTTTACCTCTACTTTTTGCCTAGGACGTATCCTAGCGAGGAATATGGACCCTATCTTTTGCCCAGGAACGTCCTTTGCGGATTTTCATTCCTCGACGGGTCTTGAGCAATGTCTTCAAGCATAATACTTCTTCACCGCGTCTGAATTGATTGGGTGTCGAAATTCCTCTCCATCCATATTGGTGAGGATAAGTGCCCCTCCTGAGAAAGCTCTTTTGACCACAAAGGGTCCTTCGTAATTTGTCTGCCCATTTTCCAATTTTATCCTTCTGGGTTGGAAGCAATTTCTTTATAACTAGATCCCCTTCTTGATAAGTATGAGGGTGGACTTTTTTATCATAAGCCTTCTTGATCTTTTTTGATAGGCTTGTCCATGACATATAGCATTCAGCCGCTTTTCATCGATAAGGTTTAATTGATCAGTATCGACTTTGAATCCATTCGGCTTCTGCTAGTTTTGCTTCCATTATGATTCGCAAGGAAGGTATTTCGACTTCTATCGGTAACACTGCCTCCACACCATATACCAGGGAAAATGGAGTAGCCCCTGTTGAAGTCCGCACAGATGTTCGATAACCATGAAGAGCAAAAGGTAACATTTCATGCCAATCTCTATAGGTTTTAACCATCTTTTGAACAATCTTCTTGATATTTTTATTGGTCGCTTCGACCGCGCCATTCATTTTGGGCCGATAAGGAGAAGAATTATGGTGTTGAATTTTGAAATCTTGACATAATTCTTCCATCATCTTATTATTCAAATTGGACCCGTTATCGGTAATGAGACGATGCGGGGTACCATATCGACATATGATATTCTTTTGAACGAAGGTGACCACTACCTTTTTAGTCACATGCGCGTAGGATGCAGCTTCTATCCATTTAGTGAAGTAGTCAATAGCCACCAGAATAAATCGATGACCATTGGATGCCTTAGGTTCAATGGGACCAATAACATCCATGCCCCACATGGCAAATGGCCATGGGATAGCCATAACATTGAGAGGTACCGTGGAACATGCACGTTGTCCGCATGTACTTGACATTTGTGACATTTTCTGCAGTATACGATGACATGTCCTTTTCCATTGTGGACCAAAAATATCCTGCCCGAGGATTTTCCTAGCCATGATATGCCCCGGGCGTGCGTCCCGAAGGCTCCTTCATGTATTTCCCTAATCAGTTTCGAGATTCTTTGAGATTGACGCATCTTAGCAAAGTGGAGTCAAAATTCTTTTTATAAAGGGTTTCTCCTATCAACATAAACCCTACGGCCCTTTTCCGAATAATCCTTTTATCATTGTCACTCGATTCCCTCGGGGTATTCACCCTTTGTTAAGTATCGCCTTATGTCATGATACCAAGGGGTTTCATCTTTTTCACTGTCTATCATCATACAAAAGGCTTGTTTATTGTACCTTTTGACTTAGATGATGGGCATCTCATGTTCTTGTTCTAATGTGAACATGGATGATAATGTTGCCAATGCATCTGCAATTTGGTTGTCTTCCCGAGGGACATACTCGAAGCCGATGTTTTCCATTTTTGAAGTCATGTTACGAATGTGTTCCAGATAAGGGATTAACTTGGAATTTTTAGTTTCCCATTCACCCTTGAGTTGATAAATAACAAGGGAAGAGTCACCGAATACTTTGAGTCTAGTTACCCCATGATCCAAAGCTGTTTGAATACCTAGAGCACAAGCTTCGTATTCTGCCATATTGTTTGTGCAATCAAAGTTTAATCTGGCCATTACCGGTATATACTTCTTTTCTGGAGATATTAAAATAGCTCCGATCCCGTGTCCTAGTAAATTTGAAGCTCCATCGAAGAACATGATCCACTCATTATTCTCTAGTTCTTCATGTTGGATGTGCATTATGTGTTCATCCTGGAAAATCATCTCTGTATGGATTGATA